CCATCATCGTCGTCCTACTCCTCATACTCTTCCTCGTCTTGCTCCTGAACCGTTCGGTATGGCCCGTCGTGCGGGTCTGAGCTGCCGACGAAGGCGGACGCGGTCGGTCCGGCCGCGGTACTTGGTTAGCGTTGCAGCCCCTGGCAAGCATCCTGCTTACTTAACAGGCCAGGTGCTGGAGATGTCACATTGCCACGCGTCGCGGCGACCTTCTCTGACCAGCTGCTGCGGACGACGACCAATGCTGCACACTACCCCACCCAGAAGGTTTACACAGGGCACTCTCGCTGCGCAGCTTCTTCACACTCTGCGCCCAGGCCCTTCAAACAAGCGGAACGGGAGGACGGCGAGGAAGATAAGGAAGATGAAGACGAGAAGGGAAGGGGAGGAGGAGAAGCAGTTAGAGGATAGCGGCCCTCCTCGCCGCGACCTCCGTGACATCGGGGGGGGCACGCCCCGCAGACTCTGCCGCAGGACGCCCCGCTCAGTGGTGGCCACCCTCCAGGGTGATGTCCTGGCCGGCGTAGCCCCACTTGTGCGCGCGGCGGTGGCAGAGCTGGTGGGAGAAGTGATGGTGATCGAAGTACACGCCGTACATGTAGTCGTCGACGTTCTCCCAGTACTTCTCGCGGTCCATGAAGATCTCCATGGGCTCACGGCGCTGCTCCAAGCAGCCCACGGACAGGATGAGCATGAACGGCGTGAGCGGCATCAGGACGAAGGGCCGCGCCGGCATCAAGGCCCAGAAGAAGCACTTGACCCACTCCCATGCGGTGAGCGTGTGGAAGCGGTGCTGGGTGTTAAAGTGCTTGATCGGGTCCAGCGTGGGATTGTGGATGCCGCCGACGACCCATGGCGGGCGGTACAGCGGGCCCACGATCGGGCTGTGGAGGCTCCAGAAGGTGTAGGAGCCGCGGCACCAGCCGTGAGGACCCATGGTCTTCTCACTGGTCTTGGGGAAATTTGGGGCGATGGGCTTGATCATGCCGCCCTCGGTCATGGCACCGCGCTTCGGAATAGCCGCCAAGCTCGACCTTCCAGCGGTCTGAAAGTCAAGGCGCAACTTCAAAGGCAGGACGGCGTGGGGATCCCCAAGTGGGATTGGCACTCTGGATGGGGCAATAATCGCCCCCCCCCTTGGATCCGCTGGGGAGGTTTGGGCATGTGCTGTCGGAACGGGTGGAGGGGGGGTTGGAGGAGGAGGAGAGGGAGGACGAGGAGGAGGAGCAGGAGGGGGGGATGAGGAGGAGGAGGAGGAGGAGGAGGAGGAGGAGAGGAGGAGGGGGGGAGGAGGGAGCGGAGGAGAAGGGGAGAAGGAGGAGAGGAGGAGAGGAGGAGCGGAGGGGGGGGGGATGGGCAAGCTCCGTCGGAAGGTTAGTCGCCCGCCCCTCGATGAGTATCCCACCCGGAGGACGGAAGAGGGCACGACGCCCGAAGGCGAGCCAGCCTGCAGAGGGCGGGGGCCCCGAGAAGCCCCCAGGAGGTCCTCCTCCTCCTCCTCCTCCTCCTCCTTCTCCTCCTCCTCCTCCTCCTCCTCCTCCTCCTCCTCCTCCTCCTCCTCCTCCTCTTCCTCCTCCTCCTCGGGGCCCCAGGACACACTAATAAATACACACAAATAAAAAGATTCCCCATACGTTCCCATATTTCCTGGGCTTTCGTCTTCCCCCCCACTTCGCCTACTGTCCCATATTTTCTTGGGAATCGACGATGAATTGTGCCTGTGTTTTTGCCCCTCCTGAAGGAGGTCCTCAAGCTGCTTCCGGGAGACCCACAGGAGGCCTCAAAAGGCTCCTCCGATCCTCTGTGGCACCCCAGACTCAGGTCGGGCAGGTCCTCCTAGAGGCTGAGTTCAAAGATAAAATCAGAAATAGTCAAAGAGTACTGACAGATATCCAAAACTAGTCAGAAAATGTCCCCAGGCTAATATTTGGGTACATTTCTCCTGTAGAGGCACACCCCCGACTTAATCCTAGACGCTCCAAGAGGCCCCCGGGACGGCCAAAAGGCCCCCAAGACGCCCCAGGAGGTCCCCAAGAAGCTCTCAACAAACATCCGAAAAGACTCCGAGAGGCATCCAAGAGGCCTCTGGCCTTACTGCTCGCCCTCCTCCTCCATTCCTTCTCCTCATGAATAACTTCTCCCTGTCGCACCCCGAGACCAGTTTTTAGGGCGGGCTGGGCGTTTCGCCTGAGACTTCCTCACCACCTATGACCCTGAAGCTTGACAATTGACAACACTGTTTCACGGATTCAGGGCGGGTCGTTTTCAAAATGTGGTTCTCACCTTAGCGCCGCGCACCTTCGCTGTAAAAACTGAAAAGGTTGAACGGATTGAAAGCGGGTCGTTTTCAAAATGTGGCTCTCCCCTTAGCGCCGCGCACCTTCGTTGTAAAGATGAAAGAGCTTCACGGATTGAGGGCGGTCCGTTTTCAAAATGTCGGTCTCGCCTCAGCGCCGCGTACATTCATCTTACAAGTGTGCAAGGGCTTCACGGATTAAAAACAATTCCTTTTCAAAATGTGGCTCTCATCGTAGCGCCGCGCGCATCCGTGTTTTTTTTTCAACTGTGCAAGAATGTCACGGATTCCCAGGCCCAGGAATGATTTTCTGGCACGGTTCCAGATCGTCAAGACGAAACAGTCAGGTTGATCCGGGGAGTTGGAATCGCGAAACAATGCTTGGGCATGCTTCAGGGTATTCAAACGGTTGTCTTGCAACAAGGCAGTTGTCTCAGTGGAAATGAACCGCTGTAGGGGCCTATGAAGCGGAGCTACGAGGGAGGGTTTATTCCAACATCGTTGATGACTCTTGGGTTTCCACTGGTCCTCCTCCTCCTCCTCCTCCTCCTCTTCTTCCTCATCCGCCTATCCCTCATCCTCCCGCTCCCCCTCCCCCTCCTCCTCCCCCTCCTCTTCCTCCTCCCCCTCCTCCTCCTCCTCCTCCTCCTCCTCCTTCTGCTCCTCTTCCTCCTCCTCTTCCTCCTCTTCCTCCTCCTCCTCACCAGATTCCTCCTCCATGCTCCCGTCGTGGGGTATGACGATTTCCCAGCTCTTTATTCCACTGCAGGCTCCTCCACATCCCTGGTCAAGGCAGCTCGCCTTGGCATCGTTTCTGGATGGGCTGGTGGGGTCACGCGAAGCGTCTAGAATATTTGACCACAGTGTACGAACTACCCTGGGTGCGACCATCGCAACACAATGCAGAAAATGCGCATGGCACCCTATATGCTCATGACACATAAGGAAGTCTATAGGGACACCTTCATACGATCGCATGCATCCGAGAATCTATGATTGGACTGTACCATCTGCTGACAGGTGCAGATATCAAGAGCAGGGCCCGCCATCTGATCACAAATCAAGACTCGACCCTCTCCCCTGGTCGCACATGGGGGAGTCAGCAGAAGGGTTCCTGCCATCTGTTCACAGGCCCGAAATTGAAGAGGGGGCTCTATCACCTGATCGCGGATCCGGGAATCAAGACGGGAAAATAGCATCTGATCAGAAACGGGCAAGCTCAGAAGGCACCATACCATCGAGAAAGTGCGAGAACCTCCACCAACGTACAGAATCCCGCCCCGCAAAGGCAGCTCAATTGAGAGTGCGCAAGAGCCCCTGAAGACACCGCAAGACGCAATAGTGGAAGTGCATTAACAGCAAAAGAAAAGGACGGTCTAACAGGGGACAGACGGATCTCGGGGCCGCGGGAATTTATCTGGTGGCGCCCACAAGGGGATGTTGGCGACGTGACAAGGGGGGGAGGGGCGCAGGGGGGAGGACCTCATGGGAGGCAGGGGCCTTCTTAGAAGGTCCGCGAGGCTTCTGAGAAGGCTGCTCAAAAGCCGGGCGGGCTTCTGAGAAGCCCCCCGCCGCCTTCATGGAAGCCCCGCCGCCCTCTTGAAACCCACCCCCCTCGAGCAGTCCCCGTGCTGGCACCGCCAAAGACGGGTCCTGGTGCCTAGACCATGCTAAAAACGCTTGGGGCTGTTCTGTGCGGTTTCAACTGTTGAGTTCTCGGCCATCAGAAACGGAAACACACACAATAAAAAACAACATACAGCAAAAATGAGCGTGGCGAAGGACCCAACCATATGCAGCTGTGAGCGCCACCGTCATGAGTATTGTCTTCAGCGGAACACCCTAAGGGGCCACGAAACGTGTGAAGAGCGCGCCGAAATAGAGGTGGTACTGCATACGGACCCTGCCACTGCGGCCTTCGGTGGAGCACCCGATGGGGCCACGAAACGTCTGAAGGGTGCTCCGAAATAGGGTTGGAACTGCAAGCGGAACCTGCCAGTAGGGCCTTTGGGGCCACGAAACGTGTGAAGGGTGCGCTGGATAGAGGGTGGGACTGCATGTACCTAATTGGGGGTGGAACTGCACACGGACACTGTCTGTGGGGCCTTGGGCCACGAAACGTGTGAGGAGTGCGCCGAAATTGTGGTAAACTGCATGCGGACTATGCCACTGGGGCCTTCGGTGGAGCAGCCTATGGGGCCACGGAACGTGTCACGGGTGCGCCGAGATGGGGTTGGAACTGCAAGCGGGCCCTGCCACTGGGGCCTTCGGTGGAGCATACTGTGGCACCACTAAACGCGTGAGAGTTGCGCCGAAATGGAGATGGAACTGCATGCGCCAATATGACGATGAGGAGGACACGCGGAGGGCAAAAGCAAGGGATGGGAGGAGGGAGGACGAGGAGGAGGCGAAGGAAGAGGAGGAGGAGGAGGAGGAGCAGGTGGGCCAGACGCGGGGCGCTGTCTCTTCAAAACGAAGACCCAATACCACAGGATGTTTGGGAAAATCACGGCACCCACCCCCCAAAAAAACAGCTGCACAAGACGAAACCGAAACGAAAACGGCGCGAACGACAATCCCAGCACGGAACGAAACGGACCCCGAAACGAAAAAAACGCCGATCTTGAGAAGGGAAAAACACCGCCCCGAATGTTTTTTTGCAGAATCCGAGACGCGGGGCCGCGGAATGTTTTGCCAGCGAAACCTGGCAGCCGCGCGGCGGAGCATCCCCGTCATGGCCTCCTGCGGGCGCACGCGCAGCTGGGGGCGAAAGATCTCGGGCGCTCCCGGCACCACTGCGGGACGTGGACGGCGCGAGCGCTTGAGCCACGAAGGCGAAAGCAGGAGCTGAGAGGAGGAGGGAGGAGGGGCCAGCAGGAGGAGAGAGAAGAGAACGGACAGGAGCAGGGAGCAGAGGGGGGAGAAGGAGACGGAGGGGAAGTGGAGAAAGGAGTAAAGAGCAGCGGAAGGAGCATTTTTGGGACGAGGAAGGAGGAAGGACTAGACTGGCACGGTAGGTGGCCACCTTGAGCCAAACGCTCATGGTGAAACAACACGGCTGCCCTGATAACATGCTCCAAACAGCGGCGACCTGCCGTTCGACTCTGGCGTTCTTCCGGGTCCGTCGTGCCTCGTTGGCGGCCCGGACGCAAGCCGTCCAAACCACCATCGAGAACCGACAGACAAGCCACACTAAATTGTTACAGTGCGGAACATGGCAAGGAAGTGGTTCTAGTAAACACCCATCTCATATAATGTTGCGCAGTACGAGAACCTACTGCTAACCAGGTCCCTCATAAAAAGATTGCGGCTACAACCGAAAGGAAAGGCTGGCGGCAGAATATCCGTGGAGCACAGGCTAGTTTATTCATGCTCAATGCGCATAGTTCACGGTGACAGCCCCTCACAGGCGTGACTCACAACGTCGCATTCGCGAACATAGCTCGTGACATGCGAGTAGATTCGTACTCCTCTCCCTGATGCACTGTGTCGAATTAGCGAACACACTTCGCAAAATGCGCATCGTTCGGCGCATTCGCGAACGCAGTTCGGACATGCGGCGCCGAGTAGATTACCCGTCGCCGTTGTCCTTGTTGACATTGCTGTAGCTGGAGCTCGGCACCGTCTTCTCGTGGCGTTCCTCGCCCAACCGATCCGCGGAGTGCGCGCAGGCGAGCTTCCCCTCCAGGATGTCGAGGATGAGCTGCCGGCCGATACTTCCCGTCGCGAAGTCGGCCCTCATCCCGCGGGTGTCGCACCGCAGCATGTCGGACAGCTGTTTGGTGCGCATCCGGCCTGCTAGCCACCGCAGGTGGGCTGTCGCACTATTATCCGATGGCGGCCGCGCGCGGCCCATGGCCAGCGCGGAGAAGACGGACATGCCGTCCACGACAAGCGCGGCCGGCACAGCGCAACCCGCCTCCGCCCTCCGCCTCCTGATCTCATCGGCCGAGGCGGGCCCGCGCGCCATCTCGCGGGTCGTAAAGAGGCGCGCCTGCGGGCCGCCCGCTGTCCCACATGCTGCGAGCAGCTCGGAGCCCAATGGGGAGCTCCACACAAGTTTGTGCGATCGGCTCACAGCGTCGAGCAAGTTACAGATGTGTTTACCAATACCGCGGCACTTGCCAGAAGGCACGCACTCGGCGCCACGCATGCCGCATCCTCTCCTCCTCACGTTTGAACAAGCCGTCGCTGCGCACGCAGATCTGACCTGCGCGCTCCTTCGCGGGAAAGACGACGCACGCTTTGCGCTTCTGCATGGCCAGAACAACGGAGCTGAGCTGCATAATGCGCCTGGTGAACAACATGTTCTTGGCCCGCGGCAGCACGACGATGCAGACGGCAACGCAGCGTTGCGCGAGCAGCACATAGGCGGCTGCTCCGCGAAGGGAGACAAAGAGGTCCCGGAGTGGATCTCCGGCCTGCTCGCAGGTCTTCGATTTGACCAGGTCGACGCGCCTGATGCGAATCAGCGCGTCGACGCACTCCTCCTGTTCGAGCGTCACTGTGCCGTCGGTAGCGCGGCGTTGGTGGACTCCCCATTCTGCGATCCGCCTCAGTCCCCCTTCATCTTGTCGAAGACGCTCTCGATGTGGCCGAGTCGGTCGACGTGCTCCTTGCGCACTGCGATCTTGAGATCCTTTAAGTGCTTGGACAGCATGAGCACTAGCTCTGAGCCGGTGGCACCACAAGTGCTGCACGACTTGTGCTTGACCTCGAGCTCAGGGCCCCACCGCGTCTCTCGGCGCTGCGCTCGGGCCAGCGCGCAACCCTGGCGAGCCTCATGGAGAGAGCCCTGGGCGCATCCTTGCAGCCCGTGCCCGTCTTGATGCAGCACAGGCACTCGATCCGTTCGTCGAAGGACTCGTCGCCTTGAACCTGCCTACGGGCGGCCGCGCTGCTGGCCGGCAGGGTGAAGTTCATCTCTTTCGGTGCTTCCCCCTGCCCATGCATCTCGGCATAGGTCATGCCACGCAGGAACGCTTTCTCGACGGCCACGGCGACGCACACCCAGTCTGGGCGACAAGCCGCCTCTGAGGACGGAATGCGCTTGGACGCCCTCTTCGCCGCGCCGGCGAAAATCCCCGCGGCTCCGGCGCGAGTGTCACGGAAGCCCCTCAGCGCCATGCGGCACCGCATGATCCTGGCGGCCCTGCCGTCCAATCCCTTCCAGCGCCTCGATTTGAACACGCGCCCAGAGTCCACGATGTCCCACGCGCATTTGAGAGGGCGTCGCTCAAAACACGTGTACTTGACCCAGACTGCGAATGGCGGCGGCCACCTCCTCGGTCAGCCTCGACACCTCCTCCTTGGCGAGGGGACCGGCCTCGCACATGATTGCCACGGCCTCGACGGCGGCGCAGGCTCTCAGCACGGCTGCGGCGGGCCCGCTGGCGACATAGTTGCCCTCGCGACAGCTCAGAAAAGTTCGTCGCACCCCTGGGCCCACGCATAACTCCTCACGTTTTCCGCCTTCGTCCTCCTCCTCCTCCTCAAGCTCGGCGTCGTCGTCTAAACTGGCGCCGCGCAGGAAGTAGTGACACTGCGCGTGCATGTGCTGACGGTGGCGCTGAGTATCCAGGCGCTGAGGCGCCGGAGCCACTCGCGCGGTCTGCGGCCTGTGCTGGCGACCGCGTGCTCGACAGCAGCGCAGACCATCTGCTGGCCATCGGTGCCCCCCAGCTCCTGCAATTCCTGAGTCAGATCCACAGCGCCCTCGACTTTCTGCCAAGCTGCCAACATCACCATGTCAACAAAGGGCACCTCTTTGCATCAGCACACCCGCTGGACCTCTCTGCCCCCCACCCACTGGGCCCAGCACGAGGCCGCGTGCCGACTCGTAGCGGCGTCAGCTGTGCTCCCTCGCAGCCCTAATGTCCGCGGCTTGTACCAGGCCCTTGTCCAGCACAGCCCTTTTCAGGGGACGCCAACAGGGACATGGCTTCTCCCACATCGAGCCCCAAGTCTAGGCATCCCAACGTTTCACTGGGCGCCGACCCTGGCACCGTAAGGAAGAGGAGGAGGGGGGACGGCGGGGGTTGGGGGGTGGACACTTGTGCGTGGGCGAATGTGCTTGGCGGTGCCACGACGCCCCTGGCCGAGCGCCCCGCTCTCTTTCCCATAGCACGTGCTCAACCATCGAGGTGGACTAGGGGATACGAGAGGTGGTCGAACGACGCGGGGACGGACTTGCCGGAGCTGACTGCGGCATGCTGCGCCGCTTCACCTGAGTTTTTCTTTCGTTGAACCCCCCCTCCCACCCAGCAGTTGGTGGTTCGGGCAGGATTGGTGGGCTTCTGCAATCGACGCCATCCGCCCGGAGCGAGTGAGCGAGAGGGGGGGGGGCGGGCCTCCTCCGAGGGCGGCGGTGCTCCTCGGGAGCCCCCGCTGCCCTCCTCAGGAGAGGTCCTCCGCGGCTTCTCTCGGCACGGGGGAAGCGCGTCCCGAGGGAAGCGGGCCCTGGACCCCGGGGGGGGGGGGGGCTCCCAGCATAGGGGGCCACGTGCGGACCCTACCCCTAACCCCCCACGATTTCTGGAGGGGAGGGTGGGGTTCACTTCGCTCGGGAGCTCCCGAGCGAAGCGAGCCCCACCCTCCCCCCAAAAAAAAATCGCGGGGGGGGTAGGGGTAGGGTTCGCATGTGGCCCCCGAAGCAGGGCAGGATCATCCTCCCGAGTCGCTTTCTAGACGGCCCCCGGGGCCCCGTGGAAGGCCCCGAGGGCCCGAGAACGGCAACGGCAACAACAACAGCAACAACCACAACAACAACAACAACAACAACAACAACAACAACAACAACAACAACAACAACAAACAACAACAACAACAACAACAACAACAACAACAACAACAACAACAGCAACACAACAGCAGCAACAACAACAACAACAGCAACAACAACAAAAACTCGGGCCCCTCTCCCTCTGGAGCCGTGCCCCCAGGGCGGCGATCTTCGGGAGGAGTCGGGGAGCTTCTGGGAAGGCCGGAGGCCTTCCGAGCCGAGCCCGCCGAGGAGGCCCGCCCCACCCTGTGCCCCAGACACTCGGAGACCTACTGAACCGAGGCAACCGAGACCCGAGCCAGTCCGGCTCTGTACGCTCCTGCGCCCTGGCCCGGGCCAGTGCCCTCCCGGCGCTGCACGATCCCGCAAGATCCGGCGCTTGGACGGCCTCCCGCTGGCATCGACCCCCGTCTCTTGAGCCCCGAAGCCCTGCTCTGGGCGCACCGACGGCGGCCGTGGAGCAGTCGGAGGTGGTCGAGGGTGGGAGGCGCGCTGCGCCCACGGTCGGTTCGCGGCGTCTGTGGGGGAGAAAAAAAAAAAAAAAAAAAAAAAAAAAAAAAAAAAAAAACTGTGTGTGTGTGGTTTTCCACAATGTGTGTGTTCTGTGTGTGTGGTTTTTCGAGGGCGGGAGGCGCGCTGCGCCAATGGCCAGTTCGCGGCGTCTGGGGGGGGGGATCGGGGGCCCGGCGGGCACGAGCGGGTGGGCACAGACCGAAGCACGAGCGCGAGGAGGTCCATCGAGAACACGAGCCCCTTCGCCGAGGGCCCGAGCCCCCAAGGGAGGGTGCGCCAAGCGAAGGCCAGTCCGAGGTGGAGAGCCCAAGGACGAAGAACGTCTGGGGCTAGTCTCGACCCTCGTTCCTGCTGTAGGCACGCGAGCGTACTGAGTGCAGCCTTCGGCGCGCAATGTCGCCGCGAAGCGGCTTCGGCAGTCGAGAAGAATTTCTCTCGCCATGGCCAGCGCTGCAGATGCACACTGTCCTGAGAACCACTTCACAATGGTAGGCCTGAGATTGAGGGTGGGTGCGGAGCTGTGATTTCTGCTTCGAGACTTCTGGGAGGGCAGGGCAGATCGCGCTACTTCTGCAGGGCGGCGTGACACAAGCTGCCTGGCCCCACACGCGGGAAGCTGCTAAGATCTGCACGTGGCCGTCGAGGACCGACAGGGGGGGGTCAGACGTCTTAGGTTGGTTCCTGATCGCGTGGCACCTTGTTCTGGCCTCTGGGGGCATCCGGGAGCCTCAAGGGCCCCAGGGACGACCAAGGACTTCTGGGGGTCGTCAGGATCCAGGGAGGCCGAAGCAAAGCCTACCCCCGATCCCTAGCATGTTATCCGTATGTAATGTTTATTATCTCTCTCTCTCTCTCTCTGTCGCTGTCGTTGTCTCTCTCTCTCTCTCTCTCTCTATATATATATATATATATCCCTCGTTATGTCTCTATATCTATATATACATATATATATATGCAAATATAACTACATATAACTATGTATATGTGTATGCACCGTTCTCTCTCTGTTTATCTCTCTCTCTCTGTTTATCTCTCTCTCTATATATCCTATCTCTCTCTCTTTGTCTCTCTCTCTCTCTCTCCCTCTCT